TGTAAAAAACAAATAAAATATAATGTTCTAGGCCTAATTTTGCGGCCCTGGACCTAAAGATATTACCGTTTAAAAATAAAAATTAACAAGGAAAAAAAACCCATTTCCCAAGAAGTTGCCCTGAGTCCCTATTTACGTTCTCAGATGAAATGTATTCATTTGACAGATTAGAGTTTTTCAGCTTAAGTCCATTTCAGAGCAGTTTTATTTATGTGTTTGTTTTTTCTTTTTTACAACATGTGAATCCTTTCCCCCAACCAAGCAAAATGAGATCGATACCAGCAACACCACCACCAAACAACGCACAGGATAAGATCTCCAATTCTGTGTCCCCAGTAGTTGAAACTTGTGGTGCTTTCTTTGCTTTTTCCCTTAAAACACACGGAAGTGGGAAATTACAGGACTGACTTCACAGCTGGGGCCGGTTGGTGTTTATTCATGCAAAAGACAACTATTGAGCTCCGTCCTCGCTCCTGATGCTATGATCAAAACTGGGCATGCAAAAGTACACAATCATATAAAATAAGTCTCTGCTCTTGAGGACCACAGAATTTTTAAAAAAAAATTTTTTTTTCAACGTTTATTTTTGGGACAGACAGAGACAGAGCATGAACGGGGGAGGGGCAGAGAGAGAGGGAGACACAGAATCGGAAACAGGCTCCAGGCTCTGAGCCATCAGCCCAGAGCCTGACGCCGGGCTCAAACTCCCGGACCGCGAGATCGTGACCTGGCTGAGGTCGGACGCTTAACCGACTGCGCCACCCAGGCGCCCCGAGGACCACAGAATTTGATGGAGAGAAGACATTAATCAAATAGTCGCACGCATGGATAATCACAGACTGAAGGACTGACTGGGGCAAAATATTGGGAAAGACGCAGATCTCACTGAACTAAAATCCAGGTGACAGCAGACCTACCTTCCATCCTGGAGGCTCTAGGGGACCATCTGTCTCCTTGCCTTTTCCAGCTTCTAGAGGCTGCCTGCATTCCTTGGCTCGTGGCTCCTTCCTGCACCTTCAAATCAGTGATGTAGCACCTCTCTGTGCCTTTCTCCCATACTCACATCCCCCTCTGACTATAGCTGGACAAGTTCTTGCTTTTTTTTTTTTATTTTTATTTATTTTTAATTTTTTTTCAACGTTTATTTATTTTTAGGACAGAGAGAGACAGAGCATGAACGGGGGAGGGGCAGAGAGAGAGGGAGACAGAGAATCGGAAACAGGCTCCAGGCTCCGAGCCATCAGCCCAGAGCCTGACGCGGGGCTCGAACTCCCGGACCGCGAGATCGTGACCTGGCTGAAGTCGGACGCTTAACCGACTGCGCCACCCAGGCGCCCCTCAAGTTCTTGCTTTTAAGGATGCATGCGATTACATTTGACTCACCCAAGTAATCCAAGAAAATCTCCCCATCTCAAGGCTTAAGGTCCTTAGTCACATCTGCAAAGACCCTTTCACCTTGTAAAGTAACATATTCACAGATTCTGGGGATGAGGACTTGGACTGTGTTTTGGGAGGAGTTCTTATCTTGTTTACCACATGGAGCATCACACAGGCATTGTGATGCATTCGAATTTGGAAGTTATTTCAGCAAAGCCTGGAGAGTCAGAATGATTATGGTGCATGAAAGAAGGAGGCTCCGGAGACGCTTTTCTCTCTTAAGATGTTTCCATTTGTTGTTCAGCCTCTCAAGTGACAATTGTCTCAGGAAAAAGGAAGAACTGCTTCCCGACTCATTAAAATCCTCTCAAGCACGGTGGATGAGGCACCTTCGGAGCTGGGAGGGGAAGGACTCGAATTTCCGCCCCCACCCCTGCCCCAGGAGTTTCCAGACCAGCCTGGAAAGTTCAGCTTTTCTTTAATGTGGCAGCAGCTCCTCACATGTCAAGAGCTAACACGTGTCTCTACTCTCCCTCATTTACGAAGGGCCATTTGAGAAAAGAGCACTCTTTTCTTCTGAGTCTTACCGGGAGAAAGAAAATGGGCTTTGGAGGCTGAGATAATTGTGTGCAAACCAGAGCACAGGCTGTGTGACCTTGGGCAAGTTACTCAACACTCCGAATCTGATACATAAAATGCAGACAATGTCTATCTTGTAGGATTGTGGGAGTTTGGGCATATGGCGTGGGGGGTGGGGTGGTTCTCTACTGTGGATGGAAGTGGAGAAACACTTTCTACCTGTTGTCTTCCATATCATAGTATCCAAACGAATGATCGAATGATTGCTATTTAAGTAACAGACAACTAATGTTTGCTGAGTGCTGTTACAGTTTACAAAGTGATGCATATATTTTCTCATTCATTCTCCCAAAGGTCCCATTGCATAGACAAGGAGACAGCTCCTGGGGTTTCCAAGATTACCAAGCTCACGTGTAGCAGATCTAAACTCCAAGCCCACACCTCTCCCTCCTGCCCCCCTGCTCTGTGCTCTCCAAGAGGCTGCGTGATGATTGGTGTAAGTGGGTGAGGCTGCCTCCAGTCAGAACACTCCTCAATGACTTTTTACGGTTCATCCATGCCTGGGGGGGTTCAGCCACAATCCCTGAAATATTTCAAGTGTGTTCAATGCAGCATCACGGATGCATGTTGGAGTCTCGTTTTTTTACTTGAACCGCTGCGTTCGATGGTAAGGGAATGTAAACGCATCTTTCATTCATGCTACCGCAGATCTTTTCCACATTCTTTTCTCGTTTTGCCACTTCTGGTAGTGAGAAACCCCAATGCAGAAAACAATGCAGACACTTAACTGAGCTCTTTACAGGCATAGAACTTAGATTTGGAAGTTAAGGATGTGAAGAAACAGACATGGTAGAAGGAACTTAATCATACCAGAAACTAGCTACATACCAAATATCCATTTTCTCCTTCTTTCTTGGTAGCAGAAGGCCAGCTGTACTAGGGCAGCAATGTGCTAAGCTCAAGCAGGACGTCTGTCTGTCTGTGTCTTGCTGTTGGGGGTAGCTGAGGCTGCGTGAGCATAGCTCAGTGGGTGGGGTCACAGGAAACCTCACTAAAGGGGGTTGACTCAGCTGGCAGACCCTTTGTGCCTCTTTTTCCTCCTTCATTGCACCTGCACTGTAGGCGTGATGGCTGGGGCTCTATCAGGTATCTTGGATCATGAGGCAACCTTGACTATGGAAGCTACCATGAAGTGTGGGGCAGAAAGATAGAAAAGGTGCAAATCCCTGCTGATTGTGGGCTCTCCAAACCATTCCTATATGGACTATGTCCGGACTTTTATACGTGAAAGCAAAAACAAGCCTCTATCTTCCTAAAGCCACAGTTATTTGGGGGTAGTAGTTGTTTTTATTGTTACATGCTGCTGAACCAAATCCTAACTGATACAGAGAAGCTTTTCTTGACCTTACAGAATTGGCAACAGTTTATTCCAGGACCTTGTCTGAATCACTTCACCACTGAGCAGTGAAGGACCAGGCACCCACTGTCCCTTGTGAAGACATTATCTTCTTTCCAAGTTGGAGCTGAGCCCCAGGGAGAGTTTCATGCCATGAAACTCTGCATTTTAGAACCAAATTGAGCAGTTAGAATCTCCAAGTGAAAGTTCCTTCCTTTCCTTCCCGAGCTTCTCTTAAATCTCACCTTTAAAAAAAATTTACTTATTTTTCATTTTAGTAAAATATATGTAACATAAAATTTACCATATTAACCATTAATTTTTTTTTTTATATTTGTTTATTTTGAGAGAGAGAGCACATGCACGTGCATGAGCAGGGAAGGGGCAGAGAGAAAGAAGGAGACAGAGAATCCCAAGCAGGCTCTGTGCTCTCAGTGCAGAGTCCCAGGCGGGGCTGAGTCTCACCAACCATGAGATCATGACCTGAGCTGAAATCAAGAGTTGGATGCTTAACCACCTGAGCCACCCATGCGCCCTACATTTTAACCATTAAAAAATGTTTTTCCTTTTACATTTATTTTTGAGAGGGACAGAGAGAGAGTGCGAGCGGGGGAGGGGCAGAGAGCGAGGGAGACACAGAGTCCGAAGCAGGCTCCAGGCTCTGAGCTGTCAGCACAGAGCCCGAGGCGGGGCTCGAACTCATGAACTGTAAGATCATGACCTGAGCCGAAGTCGGATGCTTAAACCCACTGAGCCACCCAGGTGCCCTGTAACCATTTTTAAGTATACAGTTCTGTGGCATTGAATACATTCACATTGTACTACAGCCATCACCATCACCTACCTTCAGAACATTCTTCATCTTGCAAAATTAAAACTCTGTTCCCATTACACAGTGACTTCCCGTGCTCCCCCCCCTACCCCCAGCCCCTGGCAATCACCGTTTTACTTTCTGTCTCTATGAGTTTGAGGAGTCTAACTACCTCATGTAAGTGAAATCATACAGAATTGGCCTTTTGTGACGGGTGTATTTCACTTAATATAAAGCCTACGAGGTCCATCCGTGTTGTACCATGTGTCAAGATTCCCTTTGTAAGGCTGAATAATATTCCACTGTATGTGCAGACCACCTTTTGTTTATCCATTCACGGACACTCAGCTTGTGTTTGCCATTTGGCCATTATGAACAATTGCTACTATAAAACGAGTATACAAATATCTCTTTGAGACCCTACTTTCAGTTTTTTTTTTTTTTTTTTTTTTTTTTGGGAAGGGGAGCAGGATATGCCCAGTAGTGGAATTGCTGGATCATATAATACTCTGTTTAATTTTTTGAGGAATTACATTTCTGTTTTCCATAAGGATGGCCCCCTTTTATATTCCCACCAGCTATGTACAAAAGCTCTAATTTCTTTACTTCCTCAACAATACTTGTTATTTTTCTGAGTTTCTTTTTTTTCATAATAGCCGTCCTAGCAGGTGCAAAGTGATATCTCACAGTTTTGATTTGCAATTCCTCGATGAGTAGTGATATTCAGTATCTTTTTGATGCTGGCAGGCCAGGTCCAAGGACCCAGAGTGGGATCCTGCAGGACCAGCCAAGAGGGTCCTTGGTTGCACGCAGGATAGAAACCAAACACGAGCCAGAGAAAGTGAAAACAGAGTTTATCGAAAAGTGTGAGGGAAAATACCAGACAGAATGTCTGGGAGACTCGGAAAGGAATGGAGAATGAGTCCTGTCGTCACTTGGGGCTGGGGGGTTATTTGGAAGAGGGTCCAGGGAACGTGTTCCTCCAGGAATCTTGGCTGAGGTTTGTTTGAAGCTAATGTCCTAGAACTTGTTTGGGATCTGGCTCTTCTTAGATGTTATCGGGTGTTTGGGGGCCTAGGAGAAACTCAGAGAATGACGAACGCTCTTCCTTCCCCCTTGGAGTGGAACGTAGATTCTTTGGTTTTTAGCTGGATGAAAAATATAGGACATGGGTACGTGGAACCTAGCGGAGAAACAGCAGAGGCAGAGCCTTTCTAAAATGGAATCCCTCCAGCTTCCCTACCTTGTTTTCATGTGGTTATTGGTCGTTTGTGTATCTCCTTCGGAGAAATGTCTGTTCACATCCTGTGCTCATTTTTAAGCTGCATTGATTTCTGTTGAGTTGTAGAAGCTCTCTCTACATTCTGGGACACCTGGGTGGCTGAATCAGTTAAACCGCCAACTCTTGGCTTCAGCTCAGGTCATGATCTCACAGTTCATGAGTTTGAGTCCCGTGTCGGGCTCTACGCTGACCACAAGGACAGCGCGGACGGTGTGGAGCCTGCTTGGGATTCTCGCTCTCGCTCTCTTTGCCCCTCCCCCACTCCTGCTCGCGCTCTCTCTCTCTCTCTCTCGGTGTCTCAAAATAAATAAGTAAATGAACCTTTAAAAAACTAAAAGAAAAAAGAGGTTCTTTCTACATTCCGGGTATTAATCCTTTATCAGATGTGTGATTTGCAAATATTTTCTCTCGTTCTATGACTTGCCTTGTCACTCTGTCCATGGTGTCCTTTGACATACATTTTTAAAAATTCTGATGGAGCCCAAGTTGCCTTGTTTTTCTTTTGTTGCCTATGCCTTTGGTGTCCTATCCAAGAAATCACGATCAAATCCAGTGTTCTGCAGCTCTCCCTCTGTGTTTTCTTCTAAGAGGTCTAGAGTTACAGCTCTTATATTTAGGGCTGTGATACATGCGGTGTTAATTTTTGTATGTGGTGTTAAGTAAGCAACCAATGTCATTCTTTTGCACGTGGATATCCAGTTTTCCCAGCACCATGTGTTGGGAACCTCACCTATGGAGTATTTTCTGTGCTTCGTTCATATGTAGCACCCCTGGTAGCTGATCTTTATTGCAGCAAGTGCGCTAGATATTTTCATAATCTTCTTGAATCCTGGTGATGACTCCGTGAAGAGTCTATGGTCAGGATAGGCCGGAATGTATTGCGGTAACACACACTCTCAAATCTCAGAGTTTTGCCTGAATAGTTTTTGTCACTCACAGACTTGGCTTTGGGTCTGAGAACCAACCCACACGCTGGCCCAGGATTCCATAGGGACCCTCCATGTCAACATTGATTCCACGATGTCTGGGTCAGGGAAAACAGTGTGATGAGACCCCAACATTGACTAGTCAATGCTTCCACTCGGAAATAACACAGGATACTTTCACCCAGGGCTCATTGACCAAAACAAGTCACGTGGGCAAACCCGACTTCAAGAGAGCAGAGAACTACAGCCCCCTCGCGTGTTCAGAAGTAGAGAACCAGATATTGGGGAATAATAGTAACGCTTTCTACATGCAGGTATGACTATTCCCAATTCACCGATCAGAAATTAGGGAGTCATAGCTAATTACGAGGCAGTTCTGTTCGGTTTTTTAAATTTTTTTTTCAACGTTTATTTATTTTTGGGACAGAGAGAGACAGAGCATGAACGGGGGAGGGGCAGAGAGAGAGGGAGACACAGAATCGGAAACAGGCTCCAGGCTCCGAGCCATCAGCCCAGAGCCCGACGCAGGGCTCGAACTCACAGACCGCGAGATCATGACCTGGCTGAAGTCGGACGCTTAACCGACTGCACCACCCAGGCGCCCCAGTTCTGTTCAGTTTTAAAACCATATTCTCTCTTCCTGTTCCCAACACAATAGCTATTACATTAGAATATACTGGATTATAGATTATTTTCTCCCTAGAGAATGATGAATTTTCTGCCTGCACCAGCCTTTGTGATGTCTATGATGATTTAATGAAGCTGCTTGCTAACTGTATGCAACATATTTTCAATAAAACAACAAAATTCAGGGGCGCCTGGGTGGCTCAGTCGGTTAAGCGTCCGACTTTGGCTCAGGTCATGATCTCGCGGTCCGTGAGTTCGAGCCCCGCGTCGGGCTCTGTGCTGACAGCTCAGAGCCTGGAGCCTGTTTCCGGTTCTGTGTCTCCCTCTCTCTCTCTCTGCCCCTCCCTCGTTCATGCTCTGTCTCTCTCTGTCTCAAAAATAAATATTGAAAAAAAATAAAAGAAAAAAAACAACAAAATTCAGATAGTGGTGAGTCATTTCTGTGGTTTTCCTGAGCTCCTTCACCAGAACCATTTACAACTCCTAAGAGTCCACCCACGGCTCTTAGGAGATAGCCAAGGGCCCTTTTCTCCCTCTGACATACTCCAGAAGTTCAGCTGGATCAGTTTAGGATTCAGGCACATATAGGCGCAGTGGTGGCCACTAAATGGAAGTATATTTGCGTTGATGCCAAAGTTCAATATGCACTGATGTCAGTTTTAAAAATACGCATCAGGGGCGCCTGGGTGGCGCAGTCGGTTGGGCGTCCGACTTCAGCCAGGTCACGATCTCGTGGTCCGTGAGTTCGAGCCCCGTGTCGGGCTCTGGGCTGATGGCTCAGAGCCTGGAGCCTGTTTCCGATTCTGTGTCTCCCTCTCTCTCTGCCCCTCCCTCATTCATGCTCTGTCTCTCTCTGTCCCAAAAATAAATAAAAAAACGTTGAAAAAAAAATTAAAAAAAAAATACGCATCAGGAGTACGCGACCCTCAGCCCCTCCACCCTCCCCTCCCCTCCTGCAATCACGAGGTTGCTCTCTGTATTTACAAGGCTGTTTCGGTCTTTGTTCTTTTTTCTTTTGTTCTGTTTTTCAGATTCCACAAATATGTGAACTCAAATGGTATTTGTCTGAACTGATTTCCCTTAGTATAATACCCTCTAGGCCCATCCACATTGTCATGAAATAGGTGAAGGGGATTAAGAGGTACAGATCTCCAGTTATAAAATAAATAAGTCACAGAAATGAAAAGGAAAGCATAGAGAACGGAGTTAACATTGTGTTTTTTTTTTAATTTTTTTTTCAACGTTTATTTATTTTTGGGACAGAGAGAGACAGAGCATGAACGGGGGAGGGGCAGAGAGAGAGGGAGACACAGAATCGGAACCAGGCTCCAGGCTCCGAGCCATCAGCCCAGAGCCTGACGCGGGGCTCGAACTCACGGACCGCGAGATCGTGACCTGGCTGAAGTCGGACGCTTAACCGACTGCGCCACCCAGGCGCCCCTGGAGTTAATATTGTAATAAAGTATGGTGACAGTGACTATACTCATTGTCGTGAGCACTGAGAAATGTGTAGAATTGTCAGGTCACTATGCTGTACATCCGAAACTCATATATGTTGTGTGTCAACTATACTTACAAGAACAAAAACAAAAACAAAAACAAGAGGTACATGTGCTTTGTTCACACCTCTCCCATGACTCAGATGCATTTTCTCTGGCTCTAGAATCAATATGTACTTGTCACCATAACTTATTTATCCCTGAATACTGAATTTCCTCAGGTCCTATCGACCGGATGGGTAGAAATGGAATCCAGTAATGGTAATACGGCCGAAGTCACGGTTCTCCTGATCCACTTGATCTATAGAAACTCGGCCTCCTCAAAAGTCTTATTCCCTCACTCAGCCCCAGCAACCTTTTAAAAAAAACCTTAAACAAGGCCTGGGACAAGTCACCCACCATCATTTCTAGCTACAGGGGTAGGAACAGATAAGAAGGCAGAGACAGAAATGGGTGACCACGTGACAAATGTTGGCCAATGACAGATAATAAGAAGTCTACTGGCTGGCACTTTTGAAATGCTCTGGTTTACCCACCAGAAAGAGTGGCACAGCTTTTTTCCTTTATCCTATCCCCTGATTCCTTCTTAGAATGTAAATGTGATCACTGGAGCTACAGCAGCCTTCTCTCCACATGAGGACAGATGCCAAGGCCAATCCAATGACGGCCGCAAGAAGCCCTCACTCTGCTCTGCTCCCCTTCAGGATTCCTGCCACATGGGAGAAAACAAACCCCAGATCTGTTAGGTTTTCTGTAGCTTGCAGTCAACAGCAATCCTAACTGGTACAGAGTGGCAAGGCACGTGTCTCCAAAACTACGGATGACATTAAATTGCCTTTAAGAGAGGGGCGCCTGGGTGGCTCAGTCAGTTAAGCGTCCGACTTCGGCTCAGGTCATAATCTCGCAATCCGTGAGTTCGAGCCCCTCATCGGGCTCTGGGCTGACAGCTCAGAGCCTGGAGCCTGCTTCAGATTCTGTGTCCCCCTCTCTCTCTGGCCCTCCCCTGCTCACACTCTGTCTCTCTCTCTCTTAAAAATAAATAAACATTAAAAAAAATTTTTTTAATTGCTTTTAAGGGAAAACACACCCCTTTGAGTGAAGATGGGGGAGGAAGGGGCAGGGCAAGAGGCAGGGACTGGCCAGATTCGGGAGCAGAGTCAGCACAAAAATATAGACCGCGGTGGCCCATGTTCTTGAATCTCCCCATCCCCGCCACTGGCACCACTCACGTATAAACAGAAACCAGGGCAGGGGCAGGAGCAAGGGAGAAGCTAAAACCATAAAAACTCAGGAATTCAGTGACTTGGTCATTTGGTGAATTGGCTTTTAGTAAATTAGCTTTCAGAGATTTGACTGTCAGCAAAGTGACTTAAAGCCTGTGTTTTTGGTTGGAACTACTCCCATTCCCAGAACTGCCCCGCCTCCCACACTAGCCAGAGCGGGGCTGCGGCCCCCGGGCTGAGAGGGATGAACCCTCCCCGGCTCACTGTATGCTCGGGAAGGGCCTGGAGGGGGGCTGCGCTATCCCAGAGCCCTCTGGGGATCTCAGCCCAGTGGCTCCTTTACCTCCCCACTCTCTCTGGAGCATTCAGGCATCAGCCCCGGAGTGGGGCACAGAGGCAAACCCATGGGGAGGCCTGGGATTCCCGCACACCGGCCTCCCCTCAGGGGGCTGGGGTTTTGATGTTGGCCAAGCTCTTCGGTGCTTGCCCCTCCCCGTCCAGGCTTTATTCTCTTTCAGGAGGCCCCTAAGTTCTCGTAGGAAGAACCCTGGGCAGGTGTGTGAACCACAATTTTCCAGACAGGCCTTGTATGGCTGACCCCCAGCTGAGGCTCGAGCTGAGAATGTACATCCCAAGTTCCCAGGGCTGGTCTGGCATATGACAGGAGGTCAGTAGACACTTGTTCAATAACTGATTATAATAATCACTGTCCTCTGTGGAGGGCCTACTGTGTGTCTTGCGCTGAGCCAGATTCTTCATTTTCATATACCTCAGTTCCCTGAGGCTACCCTGAGCCCCTC